ATTTGTCCCAGGTATGCAAGGATGGTTCAATGTATGTAAATCTATAAATGTAATTATACCATATTAACAGAGTCAAGTGCAAAAACCATATGATCATCTCTATAGTTGCAGAAAAAGCATCCAACAAAATTCAACATCCATTCACGATGAAAACCCTGCCAAAAATTGGAGTAGATGGTCTTTATCTCAAATTGATAAAGGCTATCTATGAAAAACCAACAGCCAACATCATACTAAATGGTCAAAAACTAAAATCAGGAACACGACAAGGATGTCCACAATCACCACTCCTGTTCAATATAGTTTTGGAAATTAACCACAGCATTTAGACAGGAGAAAGAAATAAAAGGAATAAAGATAGGAAAGGAAGAAGTTAACTGTCATTGTTTGCTGACGATATGATACTTTACATAGAAGACCCAAAAAACTCCACCAAAAGACTTCTAGACTTAATTGACAAATTCAGTAGAGTAGCTGGATACAAGGTAAACACTCAAAATCAGTAGTTTTCTTGTGCACAAATAACAGACTCATGAAGAGAGAAATTAGGGAAACAATCCCCTTCACAATAGTATCCCAAAAATGAAATCTCTAGTAATCAATCTTACAAAGGAAGCAGAAGACCTCTACATTGAGAACTATAGCACTGAAAAAAGAGATCGAAGAGGATATAAAAAAATGCAAAGATATCCCTTGTTCCTGAGTAGGAAGAACCAATATAGTGAAAATGGCCATACTTCCAAAGCTGCTGTTCAGATTCAACACAGTTCCTATTGAAATCCCAACTGTATATTTCACAGAACTAGAGAAAACAATACAAGAATTTATTTGGAACCAGAAGAGAACTAGAATAGAAAAAACCATTCTAGGCAACAGAGACATGGCAGGGGTATCACAATCCCCAACTTGAACCTATGCTACAAAGCCACTGTGATAAAACCAGCATGGTACTGACAAAAGAAACAGACCCAAGGATCAGTGGAAAAGATTAGAAGATGAAGAAACAATCACTGACATACTCAGCTACCTAATATTTGACAAAGGAGCCAACCATCCTCAGTGGAGGAAAGATAGCCTCTTTAATAAATTGTGTTGGAAAAACTCGGTTTCGACTTGCCAAAGATTAAAACTAGATCCCTGTCTTTCACCGTGCACTAAACTAAGTGGATTAAAGATCTAAATATTAAAACACAAACACTAAACTTGTTGGAAGATAAGCTAGGTAGAACTGTTGAAGACATTGGCATAGGACAGACTTTTCGTACAAATCCTATGTCGCATGGAAACTAGCACAAAGGATCAACAACTGGGATCTCATCTTTAAAAAAAACTTGAGAAACTACCAACAGAGCTAAGAGACAACCTACAATGTTGGAAAAAATCTTTACCAGCTGTTTCTCAGACAGAGATCTACTATTTAGAATGTATAAAAAACTAAAAATATCAGGAAAGATCCAATTCAATAATAGGCATCTGAAATGAACAGATATTTCTCAAAGAAGTAAAAGCAGCAGATAATCATATGGAAAATGTTCACAATTACTGGTCATTTGAGAGATGCTGATAAAAACAAGACAGATTCCACCTCACCCCACAAAGAATGGCTGCTATCAAGAAATCAACGAATAACAAATGCTGGTGGGGCTGTGGGGAGAAAGGAACCGTTCTTTGTTGATGAGAATGAAGACTGGTGCAACCACTGTGGAAGTCAATATAGGGATACCTCAGACAGCTAGGATTGGAATTCCCATATGACTCAGCTATTCCCCTGCTGGGTATCTTCCCAAAAGAATTAAAAGACTCATACCACAGCAATATATGCTCACCCATGTTTATAGTGGCACAGTTTATAGTAGCCAAAACTTGGAAACAGCCCAATTGACCATCAACTGGAGACTGGCTAAAAAAGATGTGGGTTTTTTTGTTTGTTTGTTTTAATCAAATGGAATACTACTCAGCCATAAAGAATGAGAAACTAGAGACATTTATAGGTAAGTGGATACATTATGGTCATACTCAATTGAAATAAATAGGGCACATGTGTAAATACTGTATAGTTTGTTTCGTGTGATAAACTAAAAGTGTAACTAAGGGTCAAAATATATAATTGATATTTTGTAATAGGAAGAAAAGATCTAAAGGTATTGGGCCAATGGGAAAAGTAGGGGAAAGGTAAAAAGGGAAGAAAAAAGGAAAAAATGGAAACAGTCTTTGTAAATGGGGAAGGGATAGAGGGAGACTCGGGGAATGGGGGAAAAATGAGAACCAAGATATGTTATGTAAAGGTACAAGATCCCAATGATGAATGTATTTGTATTGTATATCTAAAATTACCAATAAAATATATATAGAAATATTTTCCCTGGTAGATTTTGTTCCTACTTTGGTCCCATTCCTTCCTATCTTCCTATCTACCTTTTGGAATGGTAATGTTTATCTTGTAACTACAGTACTATATGGAGTAGTTTCCCCCGAAGCCTCATGTAGTCATGGATGGGACTTTTCAGAGATGGCTGAATCTAGAGTGTGTGATGCTGGGATTAAGTGTGTGATGCTATTTTGAAGGGTGTATGATTAAATTAGTCCACTGATTGGTTTGATAGAGCACTGGGTGTGGATAATGGGAAGACCTACACTGGGTATAAGTGCCACCAGCCCTGAGGGTGTATCGCCTAAATAGAACATAAGGGACAGAAAGAGGGCTGCTGTCATTGCTGCTGTTTCACTGCTTTGCTGCCTTCTGCCTACCAAGAACTGTTTCTCCTCTCTGATGGCTCTCTGCCTTGCTACCCTGCATTGGACCCAGCCAACTATGGACTAAAACCTCTACAGACTGTGAGCGAAAGTAAACCTTTTCTCTTAACTTTGGATGTTGGGTATTTTGTGTCAGCAAATAGAAAAGTAACTAAGGCACTTAGCAATAAAAAGAATTGAAAGTCACAATGTGATAAGACATGGAGAGACTTTCAATGCACATTTAAATTAAAGAAACCGATCTGAAGAGGCTACATGCTGTGCAGTTTCAACTGTGTGTCACTCAGGCAAAGGAAAAACTGTGGAGTCAGTAAAAAGATCTTTGGTTCTAGAGAAGGGAAGGTTGAATAGATGCAGTACAGAAACTTTTTAGGGCAATGAAACTATTCCATATAGTACTGCAGTTATGAATGTATGTTGTGATGTATTTGTAGAAACCCAGAGAACTATGTAATGAGTGAACCCTAATATAAACTCTAGATTATAGTTAATAATAATGTACCAATATTCTTTATCAATTTTATAGCTATACCACACTAATAATATGTCATTCTTTTATCTAATAATATTAATTTTAATATATAGGTATTAGTAGCATAAAGGGGCAGAAGTGAGGGAGGAGAATATATGGAACTTTTCTGAATTTTCTACTCAATTCTTTAAAGTCTTATCAATTAAAAAGAGTTATTTTCTTAAGTGAAATTCACATGCATATACTTCACTGAAGCATTTCTTTTGGCTTATGTCTAGTTGTCCCCTCAAAACCTCATGCAGTCATATTTGTGGCTCTTTCTGAGGTGGCTGGATCTAAGATATGTGATGCTAGAATTAAGGATGTGTGATCACTGCTAGGTTTGGCACCTGCCCTAAGCCAAGTAGCCTAGACAGAATGTAAAAGGGGCAGAAACAAGCTGCTACTGTCCCTTGTGGCTTGTCACTTGCTTTCTTTTACTATCTCCCACCCACGTGATGTACCATGCCACCCTGCCTTGGAGCCAGCTACAAACTGAGCAAAATAAATCTTTTCTCTTTGGCTGTTGGGTATTTTGTCTCAGCAACAAGAAAAGTAAGACACCAGTTTTACTAAAATGTAAAAGTAAATGCAAATAAAACATTATATGTTCTTTAGATAAAATGTTGACCTGAGTTGTAACATTTTCATTTACCATTTGATTGGTTACCTAAGGAGATTCCAAAAACTTTATAACTTCTTTTGAGGGATTGGTAATAAGAGTCACACTTAGTACAAAGTCTTCATTTGCTAAACTATTAGGAGAGTGTTATATTGGGTATAAATTGTTTTTTTTTAAGAAGTTTAATGTTGAAAACAAGGCATGGTGGTACATACCTGTAGTCTCATCACTTGGGAGGCTGAGGTAGGAGTATTGCCGTGAATTCAAGGCCAGCCTGGGTTACATAGTGAGTTCAAGGCCAGCAAAGAATACATATTGAGACCCTGTCTCAAAAATAAAAAAGTTTAAATGTTTATCATTGATTAAATAAAATTGTTTAAGTGGTCATTTAATTTAGACTCAGTACAGAAAATTTCTTTTTTCCTCTGAGGATTATTTTTCCACAGTGTTCTGGAGCTGTCATTGCCAGATGTGGAACTGCCTATTTAAAAATAACAGTATTTCTGTTATACACAAGCCTTTGACTGTTTGCTTCCTTGCTAATAGCACTGTGTGTGGGGCCAAGTTATTGGCATTTTGAGGTCAGAATCCAATCTACAAGTCAGGGCTTACTATAAATAGAGAAACAAAGGGGAGAAAATGAGAAGAGGTATATATCTGACTGATTATTCTAAGAAAATAAATATAAGGACTTTTAGAACATAGATGCAATTGAACACATTTTATTACGTCTATAAGAGACAATTTAAATACTTCCTCTAGTTGCTGCTCTCTAGTTTCTTAACATATTGTAGATATAAAGAAAAGGCATTTTGGAAATTAAATTAACCTATTTAAATGCATCCCATTTTGCTTCCTTTTTATTAAAACCAGATGAGATGAAATAAGTCTTTAGGAACTTTACCTTCTTATTAATAATAATATGAATAACATTTGATGTAATACCTACTACTTTATTTCTTTAACTTGGACAAAAGAAAGGGAATCAGTAAAGATGACTGTGGTTAGCATTATAGAAAAACAATTTTTAAGAAATTCTTAAGTGTTGTTTATATGGATAAAGCGTACTTTTAGTTTGAACTGGTTCACTGATGATCTGTGGCTCATTTCCAGGTCCTTCAGCAGCTTTTAAATCATTTCAGGAAAAACAAAGAAAAGGTTCTCCTCTTCTCCTTTTCCACCAAGGTTAGTATCATCGAGGTGCCTTCTTAAGTGATCCATCCCTGACTCCCAAGACATAAAACATAAAGAACATAGCAATTTGCAGCCACATTATCTATTTTAACCACACAGTAGTGAAAGTGAGATAAGCAACCAGAATTTTTAAATTGATACTTAAATATCAATTACCTCAGAGGGTTACTGTCAAATAGCAAACATTTTTTTGTTACTATTCATATTAATAATTAAGGTGCTATTTAAAACATTTAAGATATTTTAGGATTAAGAAAATAGTCCCAAGTAGTAAAATAATTTTTATAAATGATTTGACCAATAATTTTCTTTTTACTTGGTTTATTTTTTTTTTAATCAAACATCTTTAAATGTTAAAGCCAGTTTCAGAATAATGAAGAGAGCTAGTGGGTCAGAAGTATGAAAAATATTTATTTATTCTATTTTTTGTGGCACTGGTGATCAGACCCAGACCTTTACATGCTAGGCAAGTGCTCTACCACTCAAGGTACAAGCCTAGCCCCCCAAATACTTACTGCTCATAGAATTTTAAAGAAATCATGAACACTAATAATTAAAGCTTGGCAAATCCAGCCTTTATAATGGAATGAAACTTATAAACCAAAATTGTGTGTTTGCCCGTCCCCCTTGCCTTCCTTGCAGTTGCTCGATGTGCTGCAGCAGTACTGTATGGCGTCTGGGCTTGATTACCGGCGACTTGACGGAAGTACAAAATCAGAGGAAAGACTCAGGATCGTGAAAGAGTTCAACAGTACACAAGATGTTAACATTTGCCTTGTCTCTACGATGTAAGAAAATAAAATTTGATAGCTTGATTTTAATCTAATTGTTTTATGATTTAGAGTAATTTTAGAGCTATTAGTGGATTAATTTTGAATGGATATACTTATGTTATTTTTATTTGACTTTAAGGAGAAGCAGCCAAAATGCTATTAATTATAATTGAAATAATAGTATCTTGAATTTCACATAATCTTTCTTCTCATTTCTTTAACACTGACTTTCCCTTGTATTAAATATAGGTTTTTTAAAGATAACAGTTTTTAAAAATGGGTGCAGCCTCCCAGATTTCCGGAGCAGTGTTGTGACTCATTTCTCATTCTCCTGGTAATTGGGCAACACTGCAGTAGGAGTTTTCAGGAGCTCGAGAGCCTCTGGACCTGTGTTCCAAGTCTGACTCCTCTTCCTCTACTATGTCCTCATGGAGCCAGCTCCGCAGATAGATGTTTTATCAAAGCCAAACTAGTTCTAACATCTGTTTACGAACCTCTGATTCAGCTCATCTAAAGATAATATGCATATTAGAGGAATATTTAAATCAATATAAATACCTAAGCTATGGGAATCTCTTTTGGGAGTAATAAACCCATAATTTTTGACATGAGTTTTACAGATTTACTCCCACTATCTTTTAAAAAGAATTTCAAGGGACTTTAAAAATAAAAATGTAAAATGCATGAAGAAAAACAATAAAAATTGTCTTAAAATGAGGATTCAGATACATTTGTAATGAGATATACTAAAATTTAGACCACTAAAATTAATCTTCATTTCCACAACTAGTGTCGAAAGAAGAGATACTTTGGATTCCTGTTTTCCTATAAATGAATTTGAGAAGTCCTTTCTTGCATGATTGCTTTTATAAATGCATTAAATGATATAGAATACTATATTCAAATCAGATTTGTGAAACACGCATAAGTATAATGTGTTTCATAGTGATAAATACAATCGAAATAATATAGAACCTATAATAGCAAGTAGTAAGAAGTCTCCTCATCTTTTTTTCACCTCCAATTCAGTTTGCTGAGAATTGCTGTAAAGATCCTAATTATCTCTTCATCTATCTTACAAAAATTGTTATTTAACCCCTGAAGAGATTTTTATTTTTAATATGGGGTCTGGCTGAGTTGCCCACACTGTCCTTGAACTTGCGATCCTCCTGTCTCAGCTTCCTGAGTAGCTGGAATTACAGGTATGCACCACTGTCCCAGTAGAATTTTTAATTTTTAAAAACTGTATTTTTCATTTTTAGAATCCTGCTTTTTGCAAATTATTTTATTTTACTTTCATTCTGTTTTTATAATTTCTAACCTTTTATTTCTTTGGTAATTTTAATCACTCTTTTAAAGAAGTCTCCTTTTAGATAGCACTTTTGTTCTATCTCCCCTATACTTGAGGATGTTAATCCTTCTCTTTGGTGTCCACTCTGGCTCTTGCAAATGGTAGGTAATTTATTCACCTATTTTGTAATATTTTGTTTTGAACTTAGCTTCAGGACGGCTTTCTTCTTCTGTGGAAGTCCTCTGGAGACTGATGGTTGGGGTTTCTATTTGTATCACCTGGCTTTGCCTTAACTTCTGTTTTTCTGTGACCTGTACTCAAGAAATAACTTTTTACACTGTCATTACATAAATAAATTACTTAAATAATATAATAAATACATTCTTCAGCTGTGTTTTGCAAAAGACAAGTTCAGGTACTGTTAATTTTTCTCATTTTGCTGTGGATCACTTTTATAGTGGTACAGTTCACAATCTTCTTTCCATGATTCTGGTCACAAACTAAATTGGACAAGAACTGAATCAAATTCAGTGCTTACTTTCAATGTTGACCTTATGCAGTAATTTGATATGGTTCTCATCCAGTCTGGTTTGTGACCAGAACTGTGGAACGAATTAAGTTCATGAACCAAGATACCACTGTAACTTCTACTGAAGTAGAAGTGTTTTCACATTTTCATTAGCCATTTTCTTGCCAGAAAACTAAATCTGTGAACTTTATACAGTATAGAATGTCTTATGAAAGAGGATTTAATCTTTCACTATTCTTTCTTTTCCTCACAATGTTTGCTATTTTATTATTTGTAAACTACTTTTATAACTTTACATCACTATTCTGTTTTGGATCCATTTTACTTGGAGTCCATGTTGTCCGTTTTTTATTCTTTTTTTTTAAAATTGAGTTTATTGGTACATTTTAGGTTATACTGTACAGTTACATTCATTATTGAGATTGTATACCTTTACATGACAGGTCTTGGTTCTCATTTTTTCCCTTGTCCCTGCCCTCCCGTTTTTTATTTTTGATTTGTTCCCTTGTTTCACTGAAAAGTATCCAACTTTTAATGATGTTTGGTTTATTAACTTTCTACATCTCTTCTAAGTCCTTGTTCATAGTCCTGGTGGACTACCACTCCTCTAAGTCCTTGTGATATTAACATTATCATACATCTACGCTTCTACTTTTGTCTCCTGCTTGTATTATCTGTCAACTTTTTAAACTTTTACTTTTTCAGGGTATTAATGTTTTGAGTAAATCCTGTAACTTGTTCATATATCGACTCTAAAATAGAGGTCAAAATCCAGCATTTTACATTTTCCTAATTTTGCAAATACTGTTTAATGTTGGGCCAAGTAGTGCTAAGGTAACTTCTCTGACTGTTCATGACCTTTTAGCCAATTCATGGAGTCTAGTCTTAATATTAAATTAATTCTCTTTTCTAATATTTCATTCCTTATGTTTGCACAGTTTAGTTTACTTCATGTTTCAGTCATGACTGTCTTACTCAGTTTTCCCTCCATGTATTTTTTGTCTTTTAAAATAAACCTGAAAATATTCTTATTTTCATTTTAATTTCATTCTAATTTTTATTTTTATTTTCTCTTCTGTTGAATCCTTTCAGTTCTGAAGATCTCCCTCTTGAAACCTTTTATCTTTTGGTTTCATTCTGGGCTGATTGTTTTCTCGGCATGGTAATGTACCATCATCTTGAAGCTTTCTTTTACTTCTTTTCTGCATTGGCTATCTGACTTGGACCCCATGTCATCTTCGCTTGGTTTCACTCATGGTTTTCCTGGAAAATTTAGTCAAGTAACTTAGGTTATGGCTGGTATTTAGATGTCTTCCCAAAGCCCCATGCAGTCATACATAAGGTTTTACAGAGGAGGCTGGATCTAGGGTGTGTGCTGCTGGAATCAAAGATATGATGCTGGGATTGATTCATGATGTGATACTAGGATTATGCTGCCCTTAGGTGGGTAGCCTGGATAGGATGTAAGGGATAGAAAGAGGGTCACTGCTTGTCCCATGCTGCTTCTTTGCTACTTTACTGTTTTGCTGCCTTCTGCCTGCCATACATTGTTTCTCCTTGCCACTCCACCATGTGATGCCCCTCTACCATGCTGCCCTGCTTGGAGCCAGCCAACTGTGAACTGGAACCTCTACAAACTCTGAGCCAAAATAAGCTTCTGTTCCTTTAACTTGGGTATTAAGTATTTTGTCTCAGCAAAAGAAAACTAAGACAAGATGTATAGAAAGTAAACTTTCCACGTCCTTGAATATAGGAAATGTCTTTTATATACCTTCTCACTAAATTGATACTTTGGTTCACTATAAAATCTCAATTGAAATTAGTTTCCTCTCAGATCTTTGAAGGAATTACAGCATTGTCTTTTGGTATTTAATATTGCTAAGTAGATGCCAATGCCATTCTAATTCTTATTCCTTTTTGGGAACACATAAGAGGTTTTTCTTTATCTGTAGTATTCTGAAAGTACATATTGGTATTTGAATCTTAGTGTTATTCATTACTGTACCAGACAATCTGAAAACTTAAATTCTTTTTCAGCTCTGGAAAATGCTTTTTTATTATTTCTTCAACATGGCTTTCTTTTCCATTTCCCTGTTGTTTTTCTCTTGCATGCTGAGTTTTATAAAAGGCATTCCTATGTTAAGCCTTCCTGTTATTGTCATGGTATCTCTCTATAATTATTTAAGTTTTTTTTGGAAGTGCTGTTAAATGAATATTTAACCCTTTATAATGTTTAATATATAAAAATAAAGCTGAATTTATTAAAGACATTTTTGTGGAGCATTGAGATAATAGTTAAGGTATACTTTTTGATATATTTATTTGTTACAAGATAGAATGTAGAGAAGGTATAACTCAGTGATACAATGGCTGCCTAACATGTGCAAGGCCCTGGGTTCAATCCCCAGCATTGTGAGAGGGGGAATAGAATGTGGAAAAACTAAGGAACTAATCTCCTGGTCATTAGGTTTCTCTCTTAAGACAAATAGCTTGAAAAGAGTGATATTCTGCTTTACTGCTTTAAGGATTAACCCTGTCATTATCCATGTAAGAACAGAGTAACAGGTTTGAAAGTGGACTTATTAGTTGTATTATCATCATAGAATCATCTCATCTCTTGCACTGAGACTTTGCCTCTGCTTTAACTCAGGCCTCGCTTCTAATTTCAGAATGTCTTAGAAGATTGCAGAATGTTTTTTCTCTGGTAGTAAAGGGCATCTGAGGTGAATTCATATCTAACTTTACCATCAAGCGCAGTTGATTAGATTTATTAGATAGATCAGCCTTTAATTTCTCCACTTGCTTGACTTCTAAATCCCATCCACATTTATCCTAAGCCATTCTTTTTGTCCTTTCCAAAAGTTTCTCCCTGTTCCACATTCTTTCTTTGACTTTAATTCTCTGTGACATCTTTATACTATCATCTCTAATAAGTAATTTTCCAAAGGTCAGGTTTCAATTTCTGTTGAACATGTGTGTTACTTTTCTCGCATAGCTGAGACAAAATAGCCAACACCCAAAATTAAAGGGGGGAAAGTTTGTTTACTCACAGTTTGTAGAGGCTTCAGTCCATAATAGACTGGGTCCAAGGCAGGGATGGCAAACAGGCATCCAGAGGAGAAACAACATAGCATGCACAAAGGACCTTAACAGCCTCTTCTTTCCCCTTTTATCTTATTCAGACTACTTAGGGTG